GTGGTGCCGTGTCTGCGGGGCTCGTGTCCAGTCAGTGCCCTGGAGGCTGCGGCCAGGAAGTGGTGCCGTGTCCGTGGGGCAGACTGGCTGTGCATCACAGGACCCTGGCCAGAGGGTCAAGGAGCAGACGTCTCTTGAAGGCAAAGGGGCCTCAGTCAAGACAGTGACTCCGATGGCCGCCTGTGCGTGTGGCAGCTGGACCGGCGACCGATGCCTGAGGAAGAGCCGAGGCCGTGAAAGCTGGTGCTGCCACAGAACACGGAGGACACCACGAGCTGCCACAGAATGGACAGAGCCGTCTTGGAAGAAGTCCAAGCAGAATTCTGCTCAGGAGCCAGGATGGCGAAGCTTCGGCCTGCCATCGGGAGGGACCGGCCCAGCGAAGGGCATGCGCTGGGTGAAGCGCTCTGAGGGGTGGACTGCCAAGCCCAGGGTGCAGACACAGCAGGGTGGGCAGTGTTTGGTCTGCTCTTCGCGGACCGTCATCCAGAGCGGAGCTGATTCGATGCCACCTTGCCACAGGAAGCAGAGGCTAAAATAGCACTTTACAGGACAGAATCGCCGGAGAGATAAAACGCCGACTTCCTTGCCTTCCAGGCAGGGAAGTGCCGCCTGGAGCCTGCTCACGCCCCCCTGGGCCAAGCGCTCAAGCGCTCCGGCCTTCAGCCATGTGACAGCACTCAGCCCCTGCTCCGAGTTTTCGAGACAACAGTGTTTACAACGTCCAGCCAGGAGCCCAGACAAGTGTGGCCAGCGTCGCCCCGCCCACAGCGCCCAGCACCCCAGCTGCCTCACACTAGGTTAGGACAGAGCCGAGGGGAGCGCTCTCTGGCAGAGCTGCAGGTGACTCCTATCTGGGCAGGAAACCGTGAAAACCAGATGGCCTTACTCAGCTGCAGTCACCAAGGGTGGCACTGGGCACCCTGACTCAGCTTGGGCCGGTCTTCCGCGGCAGCTCTGGACGGGTCCACAGGTGTGGCAGCCATGACAGCGCCGGCCGCCCCTGCCCTCACAGCACAGTGTGACCCCGTCCGTCTGCCGTGGCTCTGCAGCTGGGTGGTCACTGAAGACCAGGGTTACTGACACAGCAGCAGCTCAGGCAAGTGTACGCTCCTGACACTGTCTCACTGGGGGCCAGTCGGGGCAGCAAGAAAGAGGGCGACCCTCAGTGAGACACAGGGGTCCATACACTGCACAGAGTGCGCGTAAAGACCCCTTTGTAGCAGAACTGGAACCAGTACACGTCCGTGAATGCAAGGGAGCGCGCCATCCCCTCTAAGTCAGAGCAGTGCACGGGGCGGGCGGTCTCATCACACTGTCACCCAGCACACACCCGGCCAGTGGACAGCCCAGACCTGACCCTCCCCAGAGCACAGTCCATCAACGAGACGACAGTCAGCAGGTGCACAGGTGGTGACACCCCGAGGTCCTGGTTTTCCAGGGCCACTTGCTGCCCCTCTCAGGAAGCCACTGCCCCCTTTAAACAGCCCAAGGCTGGTGGCAGCCCTGCGCCCAGCAAGCCCGTCTCTGCCTGCTTTCAAACAGTCCCCTTGTGCTGCTGCACGCTGCACGCGCACGCACACATGTGCATGCACACAGTGCCAACACTGCTGCTCTGTGCACGTGGGGACGGGCCTGGTGGTGAGAGCCAGGGGCTCCAGTGCCCAGGAGGGCTGCATGCTTAAGGCAGGGCTGGTTCCGAGAGCCATCAGGGAGCAGGGCCCCAACGCTCACACCAGGGCAGGAGGAGAGGCGAGAGCTGAGCACAGCCCCACACCCTGGTCGGGAGGCACCTGCAGGGAGGGCCAGAGGGGACAAAGCGGGGCAGCCCCCTTGCCTCTCTGTTCATCCCTGTGTCCCAAGCAGCCCAGCCCTGAGGGGTGGGGGAGGCAGGGAGGGGCTGTGAGCCTGCCTCCCTCCCGGCCCTCCTGCCACTGGACCCCACTCCAAGGCTCGGTCAAGGGCACAGTGAGGAGGGGTAACGGGACAAAACAGAGGGCTGGTCTCCCAGTTGTCTGTCAGCCAGGCTGCCCACTGTCCTCTTCATGGCCACGGAGGCCACTGAGAAACCTTGCTGGACGGCCTAGGAAACGGAGCCTGCAGGCCAGGCCACCCTGCCCAGCCAGCACTCCCCCCAGCCCTGCCCATGACCCTGAGACTCAACTGTTACAGCAACTGCGTGCTGGCCATCGGGGCCACGCTGACTCCTGGGAACACCGTGTGCAGAGCTGACGGGCTGCACTCAGACTGACACGGACGGCCCCGCTGGCCCCGTGCGGCCCCTCCTGGTGCCTCGCACGCAGCTTCACACGCGCCTATCACCACCTCGCCAGGCCCCACCCCCTCCTGCCCGTCCACGTGTCTGTCTATAGGCTGCCTCGCCAGGCCGTTCCAGAGCTCTGTGTGTGGTGACAAGGAAGACCACACTGAGTTGAAGGAGCTGCTGCGGGCTGCCCTGGACCCTCAACCACTGCCTCATGCCAACTGGGCAGCAAGCCCACTGAGGGGCCCATGGGACAGAGCCCTTCCACACGGGCAGAGCAGGTGTGACGTGCCCGCACCCCTGGACAGCAGACACAATCAGAAAGTCAGTGTGCCAGAAGCGGGCAGGCCAGGCGACCCCGCTCGCTCGAGACGCCAGTGCTTGTGCACTGGCACACTGGCACACCCACCACCGTGGGCCCGGGGGAGGCAGGCCCTGTCGGGAGAGCTTCTGCTGTGGAAAGGGACCAGAGGGAGGGAGTGAGCAGAGGCTGGAAAAGACACAGCAGCCCAGGCAGTGCCGCCCAGGGCACGGGGCAGGCTGGCAAAACGCAGACCCAAAGTCCGAGCGGGACGGTGAAGATGGCGGGACCGGCACTGCACGCCCTCAGGCCCGCCCAGCTGGCCAGGTGTCAGGGTGTCCCTTACAGCCATGGAAGCAGCACTGCTCTGCAGACTGACCACAAACCTCCAGCCAGTGTGGCTCACAGCTGGCTACGCACAGCACGGCCGGCCAGTGGAGGAGGAAGGTGAGAGCGGTGCTGGGGCGGCAGACCCGAGGAAGGACGGCCAGGCTGCTCTCTAGAAAGACGGCAGCGAGACGTCATCCCCTGAACTTTGGGAGAGCTTGTCAGGAGGGACCTGTCCCTGGAGAAGGACACCATGGATCGTCACATGGAGGGGCAGCCCAAGAGGAAGGCCTTCGACAAGACGGGCGGACACAGGGCTGCTGCCAAGTGGACCCCGACTCACAGTGACCCTGCAGCACAGAACGGAGCTGCCGGTGGCCTTCTGGAGCTCGCTCTTGACTAGAGCCTTCCCTCTCCCGAGGAGCAGCTGGCCGTCCGGTCAGCAGCCCAAAGCACAACCTGAGGCCCCAGGGCGCCACAGCTGCGGCCACAGGCTCCGACAGAACGACTGGGCCAGGGGCTGTCCATGAGGTGCTCGGAGTTGGGCCGACTGGCCAGCACCGACAGACAAAATGTCCAAGGGTGGGCCGGAGTCTAACGCCTCCTGGGCCCACGCTTTCACACCAGACCACGCACAGGGTGCAGTTGGTAAGAAACGCTGTGGAGGGCCATCTGACAACTGCTCACTTGACACGTGTGCCCACGCCTCAGGGGCACAGAGGGGCAAGGGTCAGAGCCAACCCTGAAGCTTGAAGAGTGGAGAAAGCACAAGGGCAGGTACTGGGCGGAGAAGCAAGCCCCTCGGCGGGGAACCCCGCTGGGAACTGACACCCCTTCTGAGCACGCTGCAGACTCCAGTGTGGTTTCCGATGCTTGGACATTGTTATGCACTTCAACTCAAGTTGTGCGTGTGCGTGTGATGTACCTGTGTGCGTGTGCGTGATGTGCCTGTGCGTGTGATGTAC